CCCTGGATCCCGTGCTTAGGACACAGCACAGCTGATAGAGGCTCTCAGCACCCTTTTCCCCTTTTAAGCGAAGTGGCGAAGTCAGTTTGAATTCCGCAGTCTGATTCCTGAGCCTGCATCCTGAACCGATACATGTTGTTCCCACTCCATAACTTACTTAATTGTGCTTTGCACATAGAGAGTTCCTGCCCACTCGTTAGGTTCTGCATCTTCCCACCTTTGCTTCTGTGGGCCCCTAGTCTTGGCAGGGGTCCCAGCATGCGCAGCTGTCTCTGACTCAGGCCAGCAGAAGGCCAAGTGTGGCCAGTAGGTGGTGCTGTTGGGAAGGGGAAAGTGGTCTCCAGTGGCTTCTAAAAGGGCAGTTTGGCGGTGAGACTGGCTGGGGAAGAAGGGATGGGGGACACTGAGATAAGAAGGTCCTGTCATCCACAAAGCCCGTCTATTCTTCCAGCCAACTCCAGGCACAAGCCAGGTGTCTGTGGGAGAGGAAGAAGAGCAAAAGTGGAAAAGCCCCACCTTGCTGCCCATGGGTCCCGGGATCCCAGGGTTAATGATGGCAGTGGGGATAGAGACGCTGGGGACATCCCCACCTATTACTTGCCTCCTGTGCATGCGTCTGCAGGACTGTTCTGGTGCCTGCCTGCTGGTCTCCTGTCCCCCACCTAACACATACATGCACGCGTACATACACGCTGAAAGGGGGGATATCAGCACAACGGGCACCAGGCACTAACCCTTCTTGGTTCTCAGTTTTCCTAAGCAGTCTCTTGAGCTGTAAACTCCTCCAGAATGGAGATCCTGGTCTGCTTTTCCTCCATGTTCCCACCACACTAGGCATCATGTCTTACACACTTAGGAAAATGATGAGGACAGCCAACCATCCCAGTTTATACAGAACTAAATGGGTTCCCAGGATGCAAGACTTCCAGGGTCCCAGGCAAATCAAGATGAGCTGGTTGTTTTATCAATACAAGGCCTCTCAGGTGATTCCTGAGGCTTGAATCTTCTTCTGTCCCTGCCCCAGAGGTTGGGCTGGTTAATTGACTGTTAGGCTAGTCTGGATCTCCATGTGGTTTGTCCTGTCAAGTCAGGCACAGAACTCAGTATGGCCCAAGGGCTGTCATCTGGAATTCTCATGAGGACAGGCGATGTGTGTCTTCATACACAGGCAGCTGTGATGGGACCATAGACCCCTCAGACAAGTCTTAGTGCCTGAAGCCCCAGTGGCAGGCTATAGAGGCCTTCCCGTGTACTTAGAAAATGGAACTGACATCATGGAAAGCTTTCTGAAGGTGCTGCATGGGTCAGCAGACTATGTGAAGGGGTGGAGGAATCCAGGGTGGAGAGAGGAAGGTACAGGCAGAAAGGAGGCCGTGTTGGGTTTTCAGGTAGAAAAACAGGCAGGTCACTTAGACACAGAAGAGAAAGGAGATCCAGAGGACACAGAACAAAGGGACAGAGGCTGGGAAAACCCTAGCAGAGAAGGCTGGGCTTGCAAGACAGTGAGGAATTTCCATAAGGCGCTACTCAGGGCTGGAGTATGTGGCCACTCAAAACATACTAAGAAAACTCCGAGGCTGGAGGGGCCACTTCCTATCACTCACCTGTCTAATTTTTTAGCTTTGAGCTGTGTCCATACATCCTGCTGGTCTCTAGGAACTTGACTTTCCTAAGAAGTGTCCCAGTAGTGTTGTAGAGACCAATGGACTTCCTGTTTCCTGACCTTGGGGTCAGAACTTTTGAGTCTCCCATTCCCTGGCAGGATCCCTCCCTTTGTGTTCCAGTTCTGCCTGTGAGTTGGAGTTGCACAAATTTTAGAGTTGGGGCATTGGGAGAACTGTCTGCCACCCTCTCACTTGCACACCTCATGTCACAGGACAGAGAGTGAGTGCATCAGACAGCTCTTGTGACCATCAAACAAATCTCAGAATGTTCTTGAGCTAAGACAAAATTCATAACTTCTGTCCTTAACTGTAACTCTGTGCTTTGGTGCTTCACGTTCACTCCTCATAAAAGCATGTAAAATATTTGAGGACAGTCTTCCTGCTTTCTAGGGTATTTTCTTCTGTAGACTAACTATAAAAGTTTCTGATATGAAAAATCCTTTAGTCTATTGGTCTACCCCTCATCCCCAAACCAACATGAATCTCTAGTGTTAGGCACAGCACCTTAGCACAGGACCTTCCCCATAGATACATATTGAATGAATGGGTGAATCCACATCACCCCCCTTGTCATTTACTGAGTTAACTGTCAGCTAGAATCCATGACATCTGTCATTCTTGGTGTACCCCTTCCTTCTGTCTGAAAGGCTGCAGTCCAGATGCAAACAGTTGGGGGAGTCTGGCTGCTGTATGCATGATTCTAGCTGTTGCCCAGTCTAGGGCTTCGTGGCCATGGCTTGCATCTGTGTCACTAGGGAATGGGCTCCAGGATCAGCACCTCAGAGGAGGTGCGGTAGTTCCCTGACAGATGAAGTCTGTTGGCTGCTTGATGTCGCTCTTATCTGCAATCTGCAGGCTTGTCACCTTCCCATCTGCTGAGGCCTCCGCAGTAAACACCAGGTTGTCCCTCTGTCTGATATGCTGAGCTCTCCCTCTCATCAGCCCTAGACTGCTTCTTAATGTCTGGGTATCTGATCTTGGACTTCAAATCGTGTGTGTATTCCAGAAACAAAGATGTTTCTTGTGTTAGAGCCAAGGTAGAGAAGTGTCTGCGTGCGTCCTTCAGCCCCACAAGAAGTGCACATATGGGGACGCTCCCTGAAGCCTCCTCAGGGTGCAGCCCTAGGGAGCAGCTGGGACCATGATGAGCACCTGGGCCCGGGCGTCAGCTGGCTTATTCCAGAGTTGGATGTGGATGAGAAGGCCTATTCCTACCAGCTGGGGAGGCGAGAGAGCTATAAGTCATGTGTCTAGAGAAGTTCAGGTACTTGAGATGTCCGGAAGGTTTTTGGAAAGACACGTGGCCTGCAGAAAAGGTAGCTCCTACCTCTGCAAAGAGACATCAACCACCTGTTTCACCATTGTCTCTCCAGAACCTGGCAAGTGTGAGGCCTGGCATTTGGCAAGTGATCAGGCAGCACTTGTCGGATGGCAGAATGAACTAATGAGAGGATGATTTCTAGAAATTTCTTCTGGGTGCCACGTGCGTTTTTGTGAGATGGCTGAGAATTCTCTTCAGTAATCAGAATGATTTGAGTTATAATCATGACTTCACCACTCACTGGCTTTGTGAGACCAAGCAAGGACAGCTGAACTCCCTGAATCTGCTGCTAGGATTCCCTTAGAGGATGGCCATAGAACTCAGGGCCTGGCCCACCACTTGCAGACTCAGTGAGTATTACATATGTTGTCTCTTGAAGCCTTACCCAAATTATGCTACCATTCTATCCTATCCTAGGGCATCTTTATGATTGAGAGTCCAGTGCTATTCCAGTGCCCCAAGGCCCTCACTTCAGCCAACAGGTGAGACATGACCTTCAGGGAGGGATCTTTTTCTCATACTGACTGTGTAGGGAGAATGCTAGGAGAATTGACAAGAAGCTCCGCCTCCTCTCAGGAGGTTGACCCTTGATACAGCTTGCTCTGGGCCCTGGGCAGAGGTCAGAACACTGCTGAGGAACCACGTTTGAGCCTTTTCATGTCAGTCCTGTGTCTCTGTGGCCCTTCCACACAGTTCGAGTGCAGACCCGGAGTTTTCTCCAGAGGTGGAAAAGTACTGGGGCATGGCCACAGTAGCCAGGTTGCCTGGCTTTCCTGAAATGGCCAGATGGCAGGGCTGACGATTTTGGTCCTTGACTGTTCATCTCAGAGGCCTGCTTAGTTCTTCCCTCTGGCATTAGTGCTGTGTTTCTAGGTGTGATGGGTGATTTAGGACACCTCTAATATAATGTCCTTCTTCTTCATTTCTGTCTTTTCCTCTGGAAAGCAGCACTGAAAGAGGAAAGATGCTGTGGAAGGAACCTGGAGCTGACATTTTGCACGTGAGCAGTCCCAGCCTTCTGCTGCATGTTCTCGCAGTGTGAAGTGTGTGCCTGGATGAGCCTGGGGAGAGGCTGTGAGTGAGGTGGTCCAGAGGACCCAAAGGAGAGCCCTTTCCATGTTGATGCCCTATGTACTCGTGAAGTCTGTTTTTACTGCTGCCTAAGATTCCCTCTGAAAAGGAGAAAAATAATCAGCACAGTGACAGCGGGTGTTTGGGTGGTAGAGAGGACAGAAACGCGGAGGACAGATAGCAGCCTCGGGATCCGCTTTATTCTATATTTTACTTTCACCAGGGAGAAGAAGGTAAGGAAGCTGGAGAGCCGGCCAGCTTGTATCACAGAGACACAAATGACATCTCTACAGAGGGTACATGGTAAAAATGAAGGGCGTCAAACCGAACAGCTACAAAGCACAAAGATTGACAAAGAGCCCAGCATCCCATCTTGTATTTCCTTGTTGGCTGTTTGAATTCAATCCTTTACATAATTTTCTTTCATTTTTAAAAAACACACCCACCGTTACATTGTCCAATCATTGTCCCTGTTAGGGGCAGAGAAAAAGTACCCAAGTTTTGATGTTTGCCCCATAACCAACCTCTTCTTCACACTCATGGTTGTGGTGGTGATGATACACAAAGTCTGGCCGAGTCAGGTTGTCAAGGCTTGAACGAGACCCTGACACTGAAGGATGAATGAAGGCATCCTTCCTCATTACACGCCAAGGGCTGGACGAAATTTGCCCCAAGGGAGCATATGTTAGGCTTTGGTGTTCTTGGTAACCACACCATTCCTACATTTGAGATCTTCTACCAGGCTGCTGAGAACAATACTTACTCATGGAGGTTGATAAAATACAGACAGAACTGTCCTCAGAGGCACAGACCAAGTCCTGGGGTAATGAGGAGGCTGAGAGGCAAGAAGGCGCGTTGTACACAGAGGAGAAGGTCACCGTGGTGGAAGCTGGGATTGGGTTTTCAGCTGTGGGCCATCTTGACCCCAGATGCCATATGAGCAGCTACTTCCCCTCGCCAGTGGGTGAACACTTCTCCTGGGCTTTCTGTGGGCTCAGTTCCGCACATTTTGTTTGGGCTGGCTCCTGGCATGGCTCCACACACTGAGGTGGACATGGGTCTTGGCATGGATCTTGGACTTGCTGTGGGCAGTTTTCTCGGCTTGACTCTGGGCACTGAGAAAGACATACCTCTTGAGCTTGTCCTAAGCCCTTCTCCTGGCAGGGATCCTGGTGCTGGGGGATGCACACTTCCTCAGTCTGGGCCTGGCACTGCTCTTGGGCCTTTTGAAGGCACGATGGGGGCACACATGGCTGCTTGTACTGCTGATCACTGAAGGACATCCTGAAGTGATTCGTAGAACCTGAAACCAACACAAGATTTAAAATGATCCGCATTAAAAGTACCACCTTGGGAACTGGAGGATGAAGAGTTGGGAGAAAGAAAGGGGGTTATTAACCTTAAGAACTCATTTCTACTTTTGATCCCTTTCTCTTCCCATCCCTGCTTCAGCTCTCTCTGACACTCATCTACAAGGTGCAAGTGTTCTCCTGGCTTTTCTCTGGATAGTTACAACTCCCCACTCCTAGGCCCACCATAGCTCTTTTCTTTCTCTTCTCTTTTACTAGTCCTTTTGAAAATTAGAAGCAAGAGACTAGGTAGAACACACAAGGTGTTTAGCAATGCCCAGGAAATGATAACCTCTTTTAAAAATCAGTAGACAGTACACTCCAGAGGAAGAGCAGACCTGTGCTCTTACAAAGATGGAGAAGCAGGGAGCAAGAGGGCACAGATGTCTCCACTTACCTGACCTTCAACAAGATTCAACCAAGGACAGGCACTGTGGAGCATAGCAAGGCAGGGACTTTTATATACTGCCTGGTCTGTCCTCCTGCTGCACGGATGGGCCACGTGGGGCTGCAGTCCTGACTGTGGAGTCACCATAACGAGCTTCCTCTAAATCAAAAATGGCTTGAGTCACTGCTTGGGATGCCTGTTAATCAGCCTGCATTTTGGCCTCTGGGTTTTCACCAGACCTCAGCAGGGAGGGGCTCCTGTCAGATCTCTTTCTTAGAGGCAGCAGAAAAAGAATGTTGGTAGAGTGTTATCTCAGTCTGTTAAACCTCAGGTGGAGGCGTCTCATCTGCCCAAGCTGGTGCAGGAAGTGGTGAGAGATAAGATCCACCTTGCTCATCTCATCTTCGCCAGTGGGAAGACTTTACACCTAAAGTCTGGGGTCTGCCTGGACCAAGGGTTCATATGGCAATGTTTGGATGTTCCGATTGGGTGCCTCTGTGTAGAGCCTGGAAAGTCACATTTCCAGACCCATGGAAGATAGCTTGTCCTGTGGTTCCAAGTAAATAAAAGGCATACGTCACTTCCACTGGACAGTGATTTTTCCTGCATGTAGGTCCCAAGGGAAATTGGGGTCCTCTGTCCTCTTGTGTTAGGAAGCGGGGTGGAGGGAGAGGACAGGAAGTCTTCATCTTCTCAACCTTGATTTATGACACCTAAAAATGGAGATGCAGAATTTTCACGGTGTCCAAGAAGACAGGTCACAACAAGTTCAGCTCATTCCCTTGCCTTCTGAAAACCTTTTCTTAGAACTCAGGCCAATAAAAGCCAGAGGTTGAAAGGAAAACTTTCAAAGCAAACACACCCAGTTTCTTGTACCTCTAAGTCTTGGTTTACACTGTTCACCTTTTACCTGAGGTTCTTTCTTTTTCTTTGCTGTTGAAACTCTTAAGCATTCAAGTACCACCCTCCAGGAGCCTTTCTGGTTACTGTAAAGTACTGTTCACCTCTTTACAAGTATCTATTGTTGGTGCTATTTACTTGACATTTACTATTGCTGTCATGAATGCCAGTTACTTATGTGGAAGATTATATTACTATCTAGGGTTTTAAGCTCCTAAAGGGTAGAGGCTTATCCCACAGGTGCAGTAAGTGGAAGATGGTGTGAAATAAAGGATTATTGGTGGGGTAAATGCATCAATGCAGAAATGAAAAGGTGGATGTGGCAGATAGCTGGGTGTAGAGGAAGATATCCTTTGCTAATAGGAGAGGATTAATTATGAATGAAGTCCCTAGTTCATAAAGTGGTGGCTTTTTTTCTAATGTTGAGCAAATTCTAGGCACTTTTAAATTGATGATGCTCCTCCCCTAAACTTGAGGTTAAATTAAACCCTTAGCTTGAAGAAGTAGGCCTAGGTAATTTCTAGAGAAAAGTATTGGCTGAAATCAGTAATGCCTTTGAATGTTTCTGTAGGCTTTAGACATTGGAGAGCTGAAAAGTTTTAAAGAGGTGAGCTGCATGGGGAGCAGGTAGTAACAGTGGTGCAAGAAGAACTGGTATAACTCTGGCGCGGGCTGCTTGGTGTCCTGATGGGAGACAGATGCTGGGGGTGTGGAGGGACTTGGAAGGCACAGATGTATCTGAAGACAGAAGGTCATTCAGGGAATTTTGGAGCTGGGTGATTAGGTATAGGAGAGGTGGACCCTCCTCTTCTTTTTCCTTCTCTTTGTTCTCTTTTTGTATCTCCTCCATTTCTTCTCTTCCTCTTTGTGTCCTCTGTCTTCTCTGGAGAATGGTGTTTAAGAGACAGATTCTCCTGTATCCCAAGAGGGAAGGAATTCTTCGCCACTGAGTTTATGAATTCATTCTTCCAGTCATTTTCAGCCCTGTTTTAGAAGGGACTCATAGGCGTATGGAGAAGATGGGCAGAGGTCAGCACTCACTCCCCAGAAAGATCTCCACTCACGGCTCTGGGGAGAAGACTGTGCTATGCCTTACTGAGCAGGAGGAACTGCCCCAGCAGTGAAAGTGGAAAATGGCATTTCAGGCTCCCCTGAAGAAGGGGTCCCCGATAGGAGGCTGTTGGAATACAGAGATGCAGGTGAAATGAGAAGAAAAGTCTGAACCCGATTTAGGAGACGGATGGGTGAGCGACTGAGGGAGGAGAACAGCTTGACTGAGATTTCCGGAAGTTTCTTTAAACAGGGTGCACGAGATCACTCTCATCCCACATACATTTCTGTGGTCTTGGTTGAGCCCAAGCATAAGGAGAGTAAATAGCAGTGACAGAGAAATAGAGAGGCTAGGTTGTGTTCTCATGGTAGGTGCTTATTGCCGTTAGAATCCAGGGTTCAGCTTCTCTAAAAGGCCTCCTTGTCACTGAATTGATTCATGATAGCGGAATAGCCTAAGGATTTCCCAGAGATGTCCATAATGTAATCTCTAGAGTTGTTAAATGTGTTTGGTTACTTGACAAATGAGAATTGTTAGCACAAAACGTAGCTTATGGAACCACATTGCTAATCAGATGACATTAAAATATGGAGATTATCCTACATTATCCAGGTGGGGCCCGTATAACCACAAGGACCTTTAATAAAAGTAGAAAGAAGGACAGAAGAGTTTGTGTCTGAAGAGGAAGACCTGACTCTCTGTTGGTGACTTTAGAGATGAAAGTAGCAGGAACACAGACAGGGCGGTATCTAGGACCTGGGAAAAGCAAGGAGACACATGGTCCCAGGGGGCCTCCAGAAAGAATGCAGCCTGACTGGCACTTTGATTTTAGCCCTGTGGGATTTGTATTCTGGCCTCCTGGACCCCAGCACACGTTTTTGTTGTGTTTAGCCACAAAATTTGTGGTTACAACAGCAGTAAGAAGCTGGTGCACCCCCGCGGTGTCTGATGCTCTTGGGAACTCTGGAGGAGCGAAGTCTCCAATAATGCAGTGAACACTCATCTTCAGTTCTGGTGTTTAAGTAGATTCCTACTTGTCTGTATCGGGACCCTTAATCAAAGATTAGCTTTGGGTAAAGGAGACACGGAGGTGCATGGAAAAAGAACTGAACTCAGGCTTCAGGATTGCATCCATCACGTAGCCTATGTGCAATATCGGATGAGCGGCAGCTTCTCAGATCCTCAGTCTCCTCTCTGAGAAGGTAGAATACTATTTCACAGATTTCTTACGAGGATTAATTTAGAGAACATAAACACTACCACTTAGGGCAGTTGAGCTACTTATAGAAGTTTAGTGCAATCTGCATCAGTTCGGGACTCATCTCCTTTGTAAATCTTTCCTTGATTTCTTTACTTCACCTTGTTGTATGGCCTCTGTTCTGCTTTCTGTTTGTTTTTTGACTTCTACTTCTCTGTTCACTGTGATGCATAGACAGTGTATGGCTCAGAGGCCCAGGGTACCTGGCTCTGTCCTAATAAGATGTCTGATCTCACACCAGTCCCTGATCTTGTCTGGCCTCGGTTTCATCATCATGAAAACAGGAGAGCTGGGCCTTCAGGAGGGGCCATTGCAGGTCTGACGTTCTGTGGCATTATAAATGTGATCGTATATGATTACCTAGGTATCTTTGGGACCTTGTAAATGTGGCTACATGTGTGTGGAGATGCTTCCTCTTCGATTAGTTTATAATAGACCCACAGGAAGATCCACTCTTCTGCCCTCTGCCTGTAGCATTGACCCAGCTGGGCAGCTGAGTGAATTTAGGTCTTCACCTAGGTACAGAGTGAGAGTGTTTGGGTTCTGAGCCCCACAAGAATCATCTTCAGTGGCCCAGGCAATGGGGCTGTGGCTTGGATAGCTTTGAGGAGATCGTCCTACTCTACAGTAGGACAGATAACTACAGATGACAGGTGACTAAGTAGGTTCTGTGACTATCACCAACCCTCCAGCAAGACGGGCTAATCTGATTCAGTGCCATCTGACATTTCAGATTTTGGACTTCTGGAGCTGTTATTATTGGGAGCCAGAGCATAATTAGATAGGGTCAGCAGAAGAGACTCAGGTCTCTGACGGACATTCCGCCTAACCTCATTCCCATCAAATAACTATCTCCTTTCATCAGATAATATTTGACAGATTCCCGTGATTCATTCATCTGCATAGGGTCCGATAAAGCTGAAAAGTGCAGAATGTGGCTCATCCCGTTTCCTGGGGAGTAGGGGCCTCTAGAGAGCTTACCAAGTATGTAAATTCCCTAGGGAGAGTCTGCCGTTCCTCTCCTTTCCTTTCTCAGTGACACAGGGAGTCAGAATCAGAGATGGGATGAGCGGTGGATGATGGATCCTCAGGGCTAGAAGGGACACAAGAGGCCACCCGACTCCACTTCCTCCTTTTAGCCCCAGCACCTGTCTTAAACAGGAGGCACATGAGTATTTATCAGCTGCACTTTTTTAAAACAAAGAAAGTGAGGGCCAGAGTGTCAGGTCCTTCCTCGTTCAAGCTCATGTAGTGAACTTATATCTCATATGAACACTAAAACACCTAAAAACATTTAGGAAGCCAATACATTGGAGATTCCTTACAAGTTTCCAGAAGATAAGGACACAGCCTGTACCAGCCTGGAGCTCTTAACTGTTTTGGGGATGTGAACACGTCTATACCATGCCTTCACATTCAGGGGAGAGGGACCCATGTCTGAAGCCACTAAACACAAACAGTGAGGAGGAAAGATCTTCCTGAATTGCTGAGGCTTGCTGCTGGGTTTCTACCTTTTCTCTTTTGAATCTGGAGTCTGGTTCTTCCTGGCCTAAATTGGGGTTGGAAATCTAGAATCTTCCCACAGGAAACTCACTGTGCCTTTAAGTTGTTTCCTTCCCTGGGCCTCGGTTTTCTCATTTAGACACTGGGGGTCCTGAGCGCACATCCAGCTCTGATGTTCAGTGATGCAAACTTCTCCTGGCCCGTCCTGGTCCTGCGGGTTTCTTGGTAGAGGATAGGAGGACCCCGCCTCAGTCTTTCTGAGAACTCTCCGTTTCTCCCTTTAACCCTCCGCTTCACACGGCAGATGGTAAGCAGGGCCTGCTGCACCAGGTGGTGGTGCGGGATTCCAAGTGCACATCTAGGTATCAAGTGTTATTGGCATCCTGGGTTTCTGAGTTCAGTTTTTAATGCCAGGGGCTTGGCATCAGCTGACTCACCTCACCACTCCATTCTTACCTCTTGGTGATAGTTTATTCTTATTCTTTAGGCAAAGACACCGAGCCTGCTTCCTCCCCTGCAACAAGAAATCTGCCTGTGCTACTCAGCTGGTTAATGTAGAGTTAACTCAGAATCTGCAGCTGTGTGATGTCAACCCCCTACGCCCAAGTCTTCCAAGATGAGAAACTGCATAGAGGCTGCCTGGGTGAGGCTGGCAAGGTCAGCATCTTGTGTCCCAGAAAGAGTGGTCAAGGACAGGACTGTGACGAAAACCAGGGCTGGCCTCTCTCGGCACCATGCCCTTCATGTTCAGTGCTGCCCCCTTTCCCACTGCTGAGTTCTGAGGGTCTCTCTCTGCAGTGGGGCGAAGGAGCACACTGGACTGGTTTCAGCCCAAAACAGCTTTTTCATCTTTGGAAGAGTGCCCCCAGCCCTACTGAGCACCCACTCACTTATTAAATGCCTGTGACAGGTATCTTCACGGAGAGTTTACAGTCTAGTGGGAGAGTCAAGTTACAACTGACTGGAATGCACGGTGGGCATCCTGGAAGAGGAAGTCATGGAGGCTCTAAGAACACAAAAAACGGGCATTTAACCAGCCTCAGAGTGGGAGATAGGGAAACTTCTTAGAGCAGGTGGCCCCTGAGTTAAAGGATGAGGATTTGTGCAGGTGGATCATTCAGAGGAGACTCAGTGAGGAAGGATGTAAAGGAAAAGCAAGTGTTAAGTGTCAACGCCAAAACTCTGCTCTGTGCCAGGAAATGCAGCAGTTATCTGTTCCTGGGCTGAAAAGTTCGTGATGTAGAAGGAGAAGTTACAAGAAGGCTGCAGAAGGAGGCAAATGCGAGATCTTGAAGACTTTTCCATGACAGGTTAGGTCATTTGAACTGCTGTCTAGGCAAAGAAGAGCCTTTTAAGTGAGTAAGCAATAGATTTAGATTTGAGTTTTATCAGTATTCATTGGCTCGGGCCGGGATTGAGCTCATTGGTTCTGGTGCTCTGCCTTGCAAGCACAAGGACCCGAGTTCGATCCACGGTGCCAAAAAAAGAAAAGAAAAAAAATATTCATTGGCTGGCTTCCCCTGGACATAGGACTAGAGGAAGGTGAGCTTTGTTAAGAGGTTTGAGTGGTGTGAGTGAGAGATGAGACATTTCCGGTGGGAAGAAGGCACGAATCCTCAATCTGAGAAGAATTTTCTTTGTGGGGGGTAGGGTGGAATGTAGTTCCAAAGTGAGACATTTTATGTATCTGGACACAAGTGCAGCTGAAAATACCCTAGTATGCATTTTATGGTTTGTATCTTAGAATCTTTGTTGTTTGGCAGGTGACTTACTGAATTACCTGTGAATTTGCTGAGCACCAGCAGCTGTGGCATAGAAGTAGTCATGACTTGTCATCGATGAAGCCCTCCGGATTGTGCCTCTGTTCATGTCCCTGGGCTGGAATCCCTGCTCATGTGGAAGCAGGATAGGAACAGCAGGCCTCTTCTGGCACGCAGTTCATCTTGCCATCTCCCTGCTTGCCAGTCGTAGCAGGAAGTGGAAGATGCCTCTAAGGTCCCTTCTTCTGTTTTTTTCCCCTGGGACCATGGATTGAACTTGGGTCCTTGCACTTGCAAGGCAGGTGGTGGAACCACTGAGGTAAATCCCTGCCCTAAGGTCCCTTCCAGATTCTAAACAAGACTTTTTTTGCACTTAGCCTTGGGTCTGCTCACAGGCAGTTGCCTCCAGCTCCCTAGGTTTTGGGGTGACCCAGAGCCTCTTTTCAAGGGTAGCTGTGCTCTGCCAGATCCTTCAGAAAGGACAGTACAAGGGGGATTTTGGTGGGGTCTCCTTTTGTGATCTCATTGGACCCCCAAGACTGTCTGGCTGTGAAAGGAGAGGGCCTGTCCTGCCCTTTATTCCTATCTATGAACCATCAGGCCTGTGCTGCAAAGTCTGGTGATGTCACTCTTCGGGTGTTCCTTATTTATTCAGCCTCTATCCTGTGGGGCCCGTGCTGGTGACTACCTTGGGCCTGGGATAATTATAGCATTCTGTGGAGAGGTGGCACTCTCATCACATTCTAGCCATCTTCCCCGGAAGTGCCTTTGATCGAGCTCTTTGTGGGAAGGCAGCCATTAAGAGATATCTATCTTTGGTTTCATCTGCATGGGAGAAATGAGAACTAAATTGGCAGTGGAGGCTTTCATGTTCTCAGAGTGGCCTCCTCCCAAACCGTGCTGAGCTCTCAGGGACACAGCCCCAGTCCCCGCTGTCACAGAGCCACCTGGAGGCCTTAGTCTGCGGTCGTACCCCAGGATGAAAGGCACCCTAGGTGAGGTGCCTTCCACGTGGTGTGTGTCCCCTGAGATAATTCTTCCAAAAATTTCTAGAAGCTTTGGGGAGGTCTCTTAAGTGCTTATGATTATTTCATGAATTATTACTTCATGATTATTTTTCCTGTTATAAAATAAAAACATATTAATGAAGCCGGTAAAAATAAAAATAATCATTACTCATCACCCCATTATGCTAAAATTGAATGTCTCAAAATTAATTTCTATTACTTTTATTCATTGAAGCTTTTTGTTACAGATGATTGTTTTATACCACATATTCAAGTGAACCCTTATTTTTTTCTCTTCAGTACATGTTTCTTTTTCTGCTGGAGGTAAACCCAGGGCCTGCTACACACAAGACAAGCACTCCATCACAGAGCCACATCCCCAGCCCCTATTCATTAAATGACTGTGTAATATTCCATGGAGTAATATGTTCATGCTCATTTAATCAAGTATTGTTACATATTGGACTTTTTAAAGTTACACTGTGATGATCACCTTTATTTATATAGCATTTCCTCCCATTTTGCAATTATTTTTTCTTCCCAGTTTGGATTTTGGATTTTTCTTTTGCCTAAGTTCTATAAAGTAAATCCATTGAGTCAAAATACTGAATCATTTTATGCCTTTGATATACATTACCATGTTGGGCATTTCTAAAAAGATATTTATTTGTATTCCAACTAACAGTGACACAATGTTCACACTGGAGCTCTGGACTTACTAATTGAAAGTGATAATTTAATAGTTGCAAAAGGATGTCACATTATTCTCTCCCACTTCCTTTCCTCCCTCCTTTCTTTTTCCCCCTCTTTATTCCCTGTGCTGCGGGGGTCAAACTGAGGGCTTTGTGCTTGTTAGGCGACTGCTATACCATGGGCTTCACCTTCAGCTTCATGCTTTCCTGTGAGGTGGGAGGGTTTCCTCCTAATATCAGCAGCCCACCACAGCCCCCAAGCCTCTCACGTGGGGTTCTAGTGGTTCTTGGGCTCCAGCAGACAGTCCTGTCCAGGGCTCTGGAATATGAGACCCTAGGATCAGGCTCTCAGCTTGTCCTAGAGACCCTGAGGGTTCAAGTCACGTTCATATCAAACAAGTAACCACTAGTTTTCACATTTGAAAAATGAGGAGGTGGACCCCGAAAGTCATTGCTCCTTCTTCTAATGGTCTACATCCATAACTGGCTGATGACGTTGCCTGGGTCATAACAGAGTCGCTGGTATCTATTTTTGGCATAGTTTCAACTCTCTGTACTTGCCCCACCCTTTGCTGCTGAACCGTCCTCTCTGCTGAGGATGGAGCTGTTGATGTGCCATGATTTGGAGAACCGTCCCAGAGTTGACCTTGTTTATGACCTCTTACCATGACGGTACAGAATGATAAGCCTATTTCCATTTAAATACTGTGGACTGTAATAATCCATGGCTCGTTTGATCTGTTTGTCAGAGCTCTATTGTCTCCTTGCCTAAAGGGGTGGGCATGTGACCTTCTAGGCCACCAGCATCCTTTCCTGGAGACACTTGGAGTGCCCGCATACCCAGCTTGTGCACAGAAGGAGACATTAGGGGAGGGTGGGATATATCTCAGGGGCTTGAGGGAGACTGAAACGGGGAGTAGTCTGCGTCCCCAGTCCCTGAAGTGTTTCCTTGTTGCTGCAGCTCTCTCTGCTATGTCTCCCATATCCTCAGCAACACGAGCCAGTGAATTCCCTCCTGTGAATTAAGCCAGTCTGATGTGGACTCCAGCTCTTTGTAAATAATCCTCGCTGACATGCCAGCTGCGAGTGCCTTCTCTGTCCCTTCCTAATTGGGGCCCTCGCATGTATATATTTAGTTTTTTGCATCTAAGTTTTTGTTTGGAAACACTACAGATGTACAGAAAACTGCAACATGGGAGCTCCTCTGTTCCCTTCGCTGAGCTTCTGTCACTAGCGACATTGCGTCATCGTGTGGCTCAGTGTCAAATCCAAGGAGCCGACACGACTCCTATTCATTTTTGTAAGATGGTCTCGCCGAGTCTGGCTGGTTGTGTCACAGCCTGACCAGTGTGCTCAGGAGACCCGCACTTCGATGGAGAAGCGTGGCAGTTAAGTTGTGTGGGTGTTGGTCCTGGGCGAGTGTAGGATTGTCCTTCACTCGGCACTGCTGTGTTCCAGCGCCCTGCCTAGTAGGCATTTGTTAACTTCTGAGGCTCACAACAGTGCTGTAACTTTGGGGCAGAGAGAAGGAAACTGAGGCGCAGAGTTGCTAGGAAACAGAGCTGGAGTTTAAATCTACGGGGTGGGTTCTCAGAGCCGTCTGCCTAGGTGTTAGGAAATAGGACTAACAGTTTGCCAATGTCCCACTCTGCTTTTCCCTCTCAGGCCTTCGACAGCTCTCTTCCTGAGGTTCCTGCCTTTTCTCAGCTGCCACCATGTTTATGGATCTCTCAGGCTCTGCTCTCCCAGGGGCCCATGTTCCTGTGAAGCACCCCGCAGGACAGGCAGCGCCTTGTAAGTAGCAGACAGGTCCAGGGGGCAGCCGGGACTTGAAGGTCTTTGGTAGTGGAAATCTGGAGCGCTGACCTTACTCACTCCTTAGGGACTGGTTCTTGGTGCTTTCGCACTCTAAACAACAGAAGAAAGCCACCCATCGAGACACCAGGAGGTCATGCACAGCAGAGGGTCACCTTTACTTGTCAGGTCAGGGGTTGGTTCCAGCCGCAGGTGCGGTATGTGGTGGTGGCTTGTGACAACCATGGTGCCTCACTCTGGGGGTGGGCAGGCAGGGGCACACTTAGGAGGGCAAGGCTTGGAGCAGGGCTTGGGAGGGCACGGCAGGGGGCATGGCTGTGGTGGCGGGCACGGTGGGGGGCACAGCACAGGGCACGGCGGGGGGCACGGTGGGCACTTTGGTGGTGGAGGACACTTCTCCCGCGGGCACTTTTCTGAGCAGCGTTGCAGCAACTTCTTTAAGAAGGTGGGCTGGCATTTGGACTCACACTTTTGTTCACACCTGGGATCGACTTGTCTGGGCTCAGAGGTCTTGGGGTCGCTCGGCTTAGTCTTATCATCAGTTGACATGGTCTCTGGATCGTGCGGGCCCTGCCAAGGAATACAAGACAGGTGGTCAGCGGGAAAGGATTCCTTTGGCCCTCTCAAGCCTCAGACCTGTTCCCTTTCTTAGGAGGCGCCCCCATGTGTTCAGGCCCTAGCATTGGGAGGGAAGCGCTGTCCTCACTCTTGCTGTGGATTTGTGACTTGTGGCAGCCTCTCTTGATCTCTCCACCCTTACTCTGGCTGCTGGTCTCTTTGGTTTCTGTTCTATGGACTCTAGTTAGTGGCAGTTCTTAACCTGGGGTCCTGGGCTTCTCCTCCCCTCCAACAACACTAAAAATCGTTTCAATATAGCTGAGAACATATGGATTTAATAGATATCTACAGAGTATCCAGCCCTCTGTAGCAGGGTAAACTTTCTTTTCTGCAGCACATAGTATTTTTTTTTCCAAAGTAGATCACATATTATTCCACAAAGCCTGCTTAAGTAAATATTAATTGAATTAATTGAAATTATCCCAAGTGTATTATCAGACTGTTGAGCAACAAAAATAGAAATCAATGACAGAAGAAATCACAGAAAAAGTAGAAGCTCCTGGAAAATTAGCAACAATCAGAGGGTGACAAGAAATCAAAAAAGAAATTTAAGAATTTCTGGAAGTTACTGACCTTGCCTGAACCACTCACCGAAATCCCTGGGGTAGAAAGCAGTTCTAAGACAAAAAAGTTCAATGCCTGTGATGTTTACATTGGGAAAATAGAGCAAGCTAAAATAAATAATTTTTTGAAGAATCCTCAGATACTTGAGAAACAACAATCCAGGCCCAGAATGAAATTGAAGGATGATATAGAGATGAAAGCAGAAGTCAATGGAATCGAGGGAAAAAAGTCCCCCCTGCAAAAAAAATCAGTGCACCAAAGAGTAGTTCTTTGAAAGGATAAATAAAATAGATAAGCCCTTAGGCAGACTCGCCAAGAGAAAGAGAGAAAAGACTCGCATCCATGTGATTAGAAATGAAAAGGTGAAATCACAAGAGACATAGCAGTAAGCCCTGTTCAGGACCCGAATAGCCTCAGTGAACGTGCACTTTGTATGCCAAGAACATGAACAACAAGAGTGAAAAGGAGAAGGGGAATTACGGAGGAGGTGGGCAGGGAGGGAAGGGGAAGCGGATTTATTTAAAAGAGATCTACATGTACCCACTCCCCGAGATGACTGAGAAATGCAGGTATCGAAAACATGTACTAACAAAAGAATTGGAAAAAATAGAGTTGATGTTTTCTGTAACCCCATGTGTCTGTTAGAGTACCTCATTAAAACCATCCATAACTATGAGCCCAGTGCCGAAGGCATCCATGGTTCAGCAAGAGTTTTTTTTTTTCTTCTCTTTTTATTGAGTTTATTGGTATAATCTAGGTCTACAATACAGTTACATTCATTACTGGGATCCTGTACCTTCGCATGACAGATCTTGGTTCTCATGTTTTCCCCTTGTCCCTGCCCTCCCTTCACCCCCTCCTCCCCTCCCTATTAACAAACTCTTTATTTCCATTTTTTCATTTTCTCATATTTTTTTCTTTTCCCTTATTTCCTTGCCCCTACCCTTCCCCCTTTCCCTACACCTTTAGCCCCTTTCTTCCCACTTCACACTCTTAACCATCCCATTAGGATCTTGTGTACTATTATAGTTTTTCACATTGAGGATATACTCTTAAGCAAAATAAATAAGTCACACATGTGTAAATACCAAACAGTTTCTCTGGTGTGAAAAAACTATAATCAGCAAGAGTTTTAAAGAACTCCCACAAGGCTACTTCCCCATCTTTGTAGAGATAAATGGGTGGTATAGGAGAAGACTGTGGAGCCCCAAGCACTTCTTTTTATCCTGTGGCCCTACCTCCGCTGCTGAATCTTGAAATGGTGCTTTCTTCTTTTAAGAATGGTAATTAAACCCTGCTGTCCGTGGACCAGTCTAAACTTTCCCTTCCCTTGCCTCTACTCAGATTCTGCCAAGCATTAGGGTTAGGAAAAAAGTCAGGAGAGGAGGAGGTAAACTGGAAATCTAACTTATCCAAGATATGCACATTAGAACCACAAAATATGGCTTTCAGAAGGGATTCCTTTTCTGTTGAGCTTTGCTTTGGCCTACATGGGCAGTTTAACCACAGGATGTGAAGAGAGCTTTTCGGCCTCTGACATTATTTCGTGGGGGGGTTAATTGACACATCTTTGATTTCCCTTCACAATATAAAAATAAAAATTTTACCAAACTTAGTTTTAAAATCAGCATAGTTCTCTGAGAATGCACCTCATTAAATCAAACTCTAACATTGCCAGGACTCTATTTTCCAGGGCGAGATGCACACTAGTTCTTGCTGAGAATGACAGGAAACTTTTACCAGATAACAGCCCTCCTTCCCTGCTCAGCATGTCACTCCCAGGACAGGAAAACCGAAAGAGCAGCCTTTCCAGCTGTCCAGATACAACTCACCCCTTTGAGCTGGTAGTCAACCTGACAGGTAGTCGGGAGAGGTGGACGGCTCAGCTGTGCTGGGAAGGTGGGTTTTCCCTCTGGTTCCTTGGCCCAGCTCTGAGGACACCAGGGTGGGGCCCATCTGTGACATCATCACAGCATCACCAGCAGTGATTGTTGGGTGACTCCACAGTTCCTGGCTCAACTCAGATCCTTGACATGAGAACAGAGCCGTGATAAATCACTCCCTTGACTGTCTCACCCCTTTCAGAGTCTCTCAGAATTGATGCTGGCAAGATGAGGCCAGGGTGAAGATGCTTTTGTGCCAAGAACAAGAGGCTCATCACTGCTTGGAGAGGAGAACCTGGCCTGTTGTTTCCCTATGGTCTCTGTCGCTGCCACCGCTTCCCAAAGTTTAACTCCCCTGAACTTTTCTTACCTTTCTGGAGAGGTCTGGATCACAGCCACTCTGACTCTCCTCTTCTTATTTTTCTACTAAGAGATTCCAAAGTCTTCCTTTTACCACAGCGTACTCCATAGCCCAAATCCAAGGATTACTTAAGCACTTTTTCTTGTTGTCCTTGAAAAATTCAGGTTTGGGGTGCTGCTGTAGGGTACAGCAGTTTTATTTTTTAAATTAAGTCTTGGTCACTCGATATTCAAGGTAAATGTTCTGTATTATAAAGAAAGTCTTACACTCACAATCAATTCTTTATCAATTGAGTTAACCCAAGATCCTATCTCAGAACAGAAAAGTTCTCCTCCCAGAGTTCCTTCTTGGCCTTTCCGAAAGGCTGGCCATTGGGTTTTGTGGGTGGAAAAGGGATGCTTGTGGGTGGTAATGGGAGAGTAGTATGGGAAGGTAAATTAGGGAAACCTAGTTCCCCTTGCTGGAGTTTTGATCATAGTCCTTTAATGGTGGAAAACATATGATTTCTGGCTGCTTGTGGCTTCTGCAGTGCCTGTGCATTTATGCAGACCCCTGAAACAGGATTTTAACAGGCTGGGCTGTCAACCAGCTCTCCTTCCTCTATAGTTTATATGAGGCCCATGGGACTTTACTACAGTTTTTGAAGCTGTGCTGTCATTTTCTGCCCCACACTTGGGATTGAATCTAGGGCCTTTGCACTAAGCTACATCCTGAGCTCTTTTAACAATTTTTATTTTGAGACAGGTCTTGATGAGTTGCTAAGCTGCTAGTTTGGGCTTGAATTTGAGACCCTTTGCCTCAGCCTTCCAGAGTGCTGATTACACGTATGTGCCGTCATGCTGGGCTTGTGTCTTCTTTTGTACCCATCTTCCTCTGCGACCTGGATAATCTCTTGCTTTCTCAGCCTCATCTCCTCTCCTTCCTAAGAATTTCCTCTTTTGCTGAATTTCAAAGTGACCCATCTCTTTTTTAAAAATATTAATATCTGATTTTCACCTTCTAGACGAGCGGACCCCACCTCCCAATAGTCAGCTTTAGCGACCCCCAGATCTGCTCACTTTCGAAAAGCCACGGGAGGCATTGGAAGTGGGGGCATTCTAGATTTGAACCGTGACGGGCTGTATACCTCGGTCTCTGTCTCACATACTGCTCTACTCCATGGAAAGCTCTCACTGTCTTTTGCATCTGTAGTGCTGGCCCAGGGTGTCATAGGTAAGAGAGAATCTGTGAATGTTTGAGGAGCACATGAACGGATGACAAGACTAATTAAGAGCCAAATAAACTGTCAGAGGAGGGAGGCCTCACTTCGTGCAGGAGGAGATCTGCCTTTAAAGGCCAGCTTCCACTACCACTGTACATGTATCAAGCCTAGAGGAACCAGGAGGAGGAGGTACCATTGAACCTTGCAACCCAGGAATTACAGATCACTCTGGATTTTTCTAACATTCAGTGCTCATCTGACCCAGGGTTCCAAGCTGAGGTGGCAGGCATCCAACGTGAGTCTCAATCCCCTCTTACTTGGAGCTGTGCCTCAGTTGACCCAAATCTCCATCTTACTCCCCAGACACATGCACATTTTCTGCCTGGTGCGACCTTCTTCAGGAGCAGGCAGGGGAGAGGTGTGATGGTGGATGTGAATGGGAAGCGCCTGGCCCAGAGGACCGTGAGGGAGGCGTTTTGTGGGTAGAAGGGAGTCATTCTCTTCAGGGAAGCTCCGACTTCACTCTCCTATGACCCATATTCTTCTTTAGGATTGTTCCTGGGCTTTCCCCGAAGCTTGCCTTCCTTTACTTTCCCCTGGCTCTGTCACTTTCCCAGCTCCATGGTAGGAGATAAATCGGGGTCTCGCTGAGGTAGATGGCTTAAGGAAGAGAACAGAGAAGAGAAGATCCTTCTGCAGGATCAGAGCAGAGGGAGAAATATGTGCATGCAAGGAAAATGGAAAAACAGGGCAAATTTTCTTCCTGTAATGTGAGATTGCAAAGTCAGAAAATTCCCTAAGCATTTTTACCACACTGGGGAGTAATGATTTAAGCTAGTTTTGGTCAAGTTCCTAAATAGCTTTGTGTATAAGAAATATGAAGTCTTCCTAGTTTTTAATAAAATTAGAGGAGGTACACCTCTGTTTCCATAATCTTCTTTTGTCACCAGGAGGCAGCATGGGTCGGTACATCAGCAGCACTGATCTAGGTAAGTAAGGTGTGGAAGCAACCTAGGTGCCCATGGCTAGGTGAATGGAATAGGAAAGTGTGTTGTCTACATGCAGTGGAATACTGTTCTGCTTTTAGAAAATGGAAACTCTACATATCCAACAATGTGTGTGGCCCTTGAAATTATACAAAGTGAAAGGATTAAGATAGTAGAAAAAATGTTGCATGTTTCCACATTTATGAAGTGTACCTGTAATAGTAAATGTCATAAAATCACAAAGTTGAGACTAAAATGATGGCAACTAATAGATACGGGGGGATCGAAGAGTTATTAATCAGGTAAAACATTTCTGTTAAGTAAGATGATTAAGTCCTAGAGACCTGCTATACAACATTGTGCCTAGAATCAACAATGCTGCATTGTACACTTAAAATTTAAGGGATAGACCTCACATTAAATGTTTTTACCACAGAAGGGAAAAAGAGGGTGGAAAAGGGGGAGGATGGTGTACTTGGCCCCGAGGAAGATACTGACAGCACTGTTATCCAATCCCTGCTGTTTCCTGGAAGGACCCGGGAAGGATCACTTGCCACTTATGGAAACCAGTGGATTGGGAAGGTTTCATCCTTGGAGCCAGAGAGAGTTGGAGTCCTGAGGGTGTAGAGTGCTCGAGGTGGGCGTATGAGGAAGGAAGTATATCGTGAGCTTGACAGAGTCCATGTGCCTCACGTCTGGATTTAGGTGGTGGCTTTGTTACCGCATGATGAATTTAGCAGGTGTAACCCAGGTTTTTGTGTACAAAAAGCAATGATTGCAAGTGCACACTTGGCGTCAGGTGGAAAGCAGCTATATTTGTTAACAATCATGGGATGTTGTGCTTGGGGCAAGTTTGTGTTGACAGCAATTCTTCAGATCCTCCCCTCACTTGAATTCATCCAGTGAATTTGAAGGTTAGCTGCTTTCCATGAGTTAGGGCTTAACACCCCCCCCATCCCTTGGTGTGCCTGCTGCCTCGTGTGTGAGGGCAATTGTGCCCTTCTGCAGAAGTAAACTTTAAGCTTTGCTTTGTTCAGTCCTCTTGCTTCCTGAGTGCATACTTTCAGGCACAGACAGTTTGAGGGGGCTGATTTCCAACAGCAGAGTCCTGAAGGCTGTTCAGTTTGCTTGTCTCCCTCCTTAAGTTTTGTGTCTTTTGAGTGCAGGGCACCCAGACATATATTGCCGTCTCCATAAAGATTATGAAATGCTGTCATAAACATCACACACTGTGAGCACCAACTCTTCTGTGCAACAAGGAAAATATTAAATTATTATATTGCTTTTTAAAGCAGTTCTTGAAATAGAATAGCCACATTTTCATATTAGAAGAAACTCCAAAAATACACAATGGATCATATACTGTTTTGAATCTTTTGTTTCATTTATTACTGTAGTTAGTGCATAGTATAACAAATACAATTCCGATAGTTTATTCTCCACTGAGAGGAGGAGAAGCGGGATGTGAACTCAGTGGCCCAAGGTTTATTAGAAAATCTGAGAGGGGCCTCTGATCTGGTAAGCAGAAGAGAGAAAGTGATCTCTTACAGACTCGGGGTTGTAAGGTTTGGAAAGGGTCTGAGTATCTTCTGACAGAAGTCTTTAAGGAAACTTTAGCAGAGGACTTTTTATTCCTTTTTTTTTTTCATAATTTGGACATTTTTTCCTGGGAAGCCAGAGGTTAAACAGAATTAGATCTCCTGAGATGGTGAGCTTTTATTAAAATAGTGGTACTCCTGTCCAGTCTCTGTCATCGACTCTCCTTAGGGTCCTTAGGTCCCATGTCTCCCATTCTGTCCAGAAACTAGTGTGCCTTTCTCTTGGAATGAAGGCTAAGGGTGTAAGGGGTGAGCTCCTTTTCGGAACAGGCCGGTTGTGCTTGGAGACCAGGGGAGAGGTCCTCATAAGGAGGAGCTTCCTCCTTTTCCCTGGGTTTTGTTTCCCTAGGTAAGCCATTAGAAGTTCCCCATAACTCTTGCTGGTTCCCAGTGGTCAACTTAACCTTTTTGTACCTACAACGATCTGGGCAGTAACTGAATAAAAGTCATAAATTTTCAATTACAGTGTTTTAATGGTTCAAGCAGAGAGGCTGGGCCATGGTTCTTGCAGGACTGGGGTTGCAGATTAGTGAGAGAGTGGTCTGTGCTGGAAAGATTCTAGCTAGCACCAAGATGAAAGAGGTGAGGTGGAGGGGAAGGCAGGTGACTTCAACTGCTCTGATGAGAGTGCTGTCTTGCTCTCTGACATCTGAAGAAAATAGAATATAGTTGTGCTGTTTGTTTTTCATTCTGTGGGGTTCTTCTGCACCCTCCTGTGAGAGAAACTGTGGCCCTGTCTTTTCTATCAAAGAATATAAACAAGAGCGTCTCCCTTTTAGACTCTAGTCCACCCTCTGTGGCCCCTCCTAAATGCACTGAAATTATGGGACATGTCTGCTCAGTTCAAACTCTGGAAAAACAGACAAAGATAGCTTTTTTAATTGAGTTTATTGGTACATTTTAGGTATACAGTACAGTTACATTCATTATTGGGATCTTGTGCTTTTACATGACAGGTCTCGATTCTCATTTTTTTCCCCTTATCCCTGCCAAGATAGCGTATCAGTAGCCAAGGACCTTCTGTTCCCCATATCCTGTTTCCTCTGGTCTTCCTTCCCTTGACAACCCTACCCAGCAACTTCTCAGGCCCAGCCTTTTACACTGCTTAAACTAGTCAGTCAGGATAACTGAACCTCCAGCCCAGCCAACGGGGGACAAAGTCCCATTCTAGGGCTTAACACCCACTTCCTGCCACTTGGTGTGCCTGCTACCTCATGCTTGTACCCTTCTACAGAAGTAAAATTCCTTGTCAGGATTTCTTGATATTTGAGGGCTTTATCTGCACTGATAAACTAAGTCTGAGGATGTATTTCCAACACTCCTAAGTAGATACTGTCAGTGAGGCCAACAGCAGACCTGTGGGTAGAGGGTGCCGCCACGTAGGAGTAGGCCTCGTTTTACCCACTTCGGGTGATGGTAGCTAGAGAGGTCAGGCTGGCCGGGACTGGAAGGAGAGCGTGGAGAACGTGCCACAGCTGTTCAGTCTGCTGTCTGCATGGGGAAGGTGGGAAGACCTGGCTGATTAACTGTGGAAGTTTCAGGGTTCACCTCGCCCTGGGAGAGAAGGAGCCTATGCTGTGCTGTCTGTGATTCTACGTTTTTGATGGAAATAGGGTTTGTGGTAAAAGGAAGAGAATCCAGCTCCTCTGGTACATGTCGGGGTGGCTCAGAGGTGTCACTTCTGCTTTGGTGGCATATTCCTGCTGGCACGAGGAATATGGCATAGGGAGACACTTCAGCTGGCTGGAGGGAGTAGGACAGGGCTTGAGTACCTTGGAGGGAAAAGGATCAGGCACCTTGAGGGAACAAGGCTCAGGAAGTCTGGGGTTGGGGCCTGGCAGGTGACTTGGTGTTGTTGCTGCTGATATACTTGGTTGAAGACAATGTGTAAGAAATAGAAGATACGTTTTGTGTTTCATTTTGTCACAAGAGCTTCTCAGTTAAACCGCCACGTCTGCCATCGTCCTGACAGATGACTTTCCCAGCAAACTTCCAGCACAGCTCTGAAGTCCACAGCACCCAGCACTGGCAAGAGCTGCCAACTAAGGAAATCCTCTGGGATTGTAGCCAAATTCCTCTCTGCTCTCAGGGAGCCACTGCTGGATCGTGATTCATGCTTGGCCCTGCCATCCATGTGGTACTCAGTTCAGGGGAGAAGATGAGCAGGCCCAGGTCAGTGTATCAGTGTGGAGGTAAGAGGCAGGAGGGTTTAGGCCAGAGAGACCGAGCCCGGCTGGCTGTGTGAAGAGCAGACTTCTCCATTAAATGGGGATGACAGTGGCCACATCCCAAGATGACAAGAATTAAAGGGATAAATTTGATAGTGAAGCAGTTACCTAGTGAGTGCTCCGTTGCTAGTCAAAAGGGAAATGACACCTAATCGTATTGTGGTGTGTTTGTATAGGGGCAGTAAAGGGTGCTTCTCAGCTTGGGGACAAAAAGGACAAAATACCTTCCTGCCAGTGTCTGAAAGGATGCCTGCTATCATCCAGTCACTTGAAGAGCAGAAATGAGGTATGTGTTTGTGAGAAATTATTAGCAGAAATATTCCAGAAATTCATATTAGATGTGGTCAGAAATGTCTTCCATGGGACCGAGGACAGAGGAAGCCTCCCCAACCTTGATTCATCTCCTCGGTGACCTTCCAAGGCTGTGAGCCTCTTAAGCTAGATGCATTTGGATTCTTTCCATTGAAGGAGACTGATAGCCCCTTCAGAGCTCCTCCAGCAGACTCTGGGTCTGCCCTTCGGACAGGGTATCGCTCCAGCTCTGTCTCTTCCTTTTAGACAGTTGCTGTCTCCTCCTCTTCCCCTGCTGTTCCATTCTCCACATCCTCCTCTGCTCACCCCATTCTCCAGGGAGGGTGAGCTCATAGTTTATGAGGATGTTAAAATCTACCTCCTTCCTCACCTCGAGCAGGCGGTAAGGAAGGGCTCACATCCCAGATTATGGAAGTGGTAGCCCATGATCTCAGATTTTTAGTGGCAATCTTTTGATTTACTGACCCTACTCAAGCCCATAGTCTTGTTTAGCATGCTGTCATCTAAACTAAGATAATGAAGGAGCCCTGATCTGAAAACGGGGATATTCAGCATCTAGTTTGACTTGCCACATATTTGCTGTGGGACTTAGGACAAGAAACTTGACATAACTAGCACACGTTCTTTTCATCTGACATACTTTGAATTTCAGTAAATTACCATAATTTGTCAGAGAAAAGCATTCTGTAATTTCTATTCATAAGACACTTGCACACCCACTCATTAATTCATCTATCTTTGCCATTATTAACTCTTCCATTTCCCGTAAAAGCCTTGGAGAACAGTCAGGGTCCGCCATCGGTGACTTGTGTGCGGTGTGCAAAGGCCCCGGGCAGGTGCACTGCACTCTCCCTGTCATTAGAGCCATTTCACTCCTCTGCCTTTCCTAGTACACCTTTCCTCAGAGGACAGGTCCCAGCAGGCTGAGGAGGTTCCATCTCTGATGCTTTTATTGTGGATTCAGCTTGGGCTGGGCTGGGAGAACAACTGGGATCCCCCGCCCCCCAGACTTCCCTGTTCAGTGTAGCTCTCTGCACCTGGAAAGTCTCACAGACTCCTTCGTAGTACAGGAAGCCCTCCTTTGGTACCACCTGGTAAGAAGAGACACTGCCTCCTCTTCCTCCCCCTCAGGGAGGACAGCTCAGAATGAGACAGAAGTTTCAGGTGTGGGTCAGTCCATGTCTGCTCTCTCAGGCTGCCATGGAGCAGCTGGCATGAGTGTTAAAGCCCCAGGCTGAAGATCATCGTGGCGGTGGACGCTCGCAGGCTGAGCTGAGCCATTCAACTTCTCGACCTCTGTGGCCCACACACCTGCTTCTCTGAGGTGACCAAGGCTCCCTGGAAATCCCCCGGTGAACACACTATATTCCGAGCAAGTGTATTAGCTAGGGTTCTTCAGAGAAACAGAACCAATGCACAAGCATATATATTATGTACATATATTGTTTCTTCATTTTAAGGAATTGGCTTCCAGGCTGAATCCACAATAAATTCAAGCCCAAGGGATAATCTTCTGGGAGGTTGGTCTTTCTTTTTGTGCAGGCTTTCAGATGATTGGATGAGAAGCACCCACATTAAGGAGGAAAATCTGCTTTACTCAAACTCTACTAATTTAAATGTTCACCCCATTAAGAATACCTACACAGACACATCTAGAATAACAACAAATTTCTGGCTACTGTGACATAAATATCACACACACACACACACACACACACACACACACACACACACACACGGCTCTAGTGGGCAGAAAAAACTGAAGTTCAAAATGTTTGCAAGTGATTCAAATGATTAACGGCCCTGTCTTACACTTTCTCCTTTTGTCTCCCAAGGACACTTTTCCAGCACTAGTATTTTGGGTTATTAGGTTCAGAAATAGCCCCAGACTTTCCTTCATGATCTGACAGCATAGAGAACTAGAGAAACAAGCTCTTATTTCTTCTCTATCTCTGCCTGACACTCACTATTAGTTGCTTATTTGGGCCTTTCATTGTAGACTGGATTTTCTTACCATTTTCATTGATGAATGACTATCTATAAATCTCGGGAGTCCAGAGTTTCTGGATTCATGTTTTTGACTGAAGCCTTTGGTCAGGGCAGGCCAGTACCTTCCCCTCCTATCCTTCTGTATTCTGTGAGCATAAGGAGCTCCTTCAGCACAAGGAGATGCTCTGGTTCTTCAGATGTGAGGTAGTGGCACCCAGAGCTCAGAGGCCCGGTATTGCTCCAAGGAAAGGAGCCCAGGAAAGAAACTGTCTGTGACACAGGTCACAAGGCTTTGCAAGGCCCATGGAAAGGGCTAGATTGCACTTCATTGCATGGTCAAGCAGCTGGGAGACAAGTCATTCCCATTCCTTTGACCCGCAGAGGGAGACTTTCAGCAAGAGGGGTGAGAGGGGCAGGTGATCCCGAAGATGGCAGTAGAGGAGGTGAGAGGTGCATTCAGCCCTGCAGAAGGACAGTGGCCTGCTCTGGAGCCTGGGCCAGCTCTGAGGAGGGATGTGGTACCGCAGGGAAGGCGTAGGTGGTAAAAGTGCCACATCCATACAATGGCTAAGTTTGTTCAGTTGCCTCCTGGAAAATCTCCTCCAGGAAGCATCCTGTGCCCCACATAGGGGTTTGTTCATTTGTTTTGTGCTCCTCTAGTACTCCAAGAGTAATCTTACTGCTCTGTGTGTGTTTCATCTTACTGTGTATTTACATATCTGCCCTCCCTACTGCACTGTGAATTCAGACACAGGGGCTGTGTTTCTGTCGCATCTTTGTCCTCACTCCTGGACTGCAGCCTGATTCCATGACTATTTTCAAAATGACCTGAATGGATTCCTGACACCAACCATAGGCTTTATAGGTGAAATGGTTTGGTGCTGTCTATTATCTTTTGATTCTGCTTAAAACATTCAGAGAAGAAGGTAAGGGAGCAGAAAGGGTCTTAGTCCTAACCAAGACACCCAGACCCTCCAAGAACCTCATTCTTGTCTCTTCTCACCTGTGCAACTCCCCTGACAGCCTCAGAAGTAGAAGGTTCTCGTCACCTGCAGAAAGACCATCCAGGGGAAATGCCACAGCTTCTACCGCTGGAGAGGTGCCAATCTTGATTTTTGGAGCACAGCCTTGTTCACGTATTTCAAGGTGCTGAAAAGTTATATTCTGCAACTGTGAATAATGGAGAGTCCCTTACATTACATTACATTACTTACTCTTTATATACTCTGTTCTCCATATTGCAATAAAAATGCCTGGAAAACAAGGATTCTGTCTGGAACAGTAGTCAGCATCGACAGAGGGACTGATGACTGACTTACCTCTGGCTGAACTAAAAGCTGGTAAAAATGACTCTTGTTCCTCCCTTTAAAAATCTCCAAGGCCTGGAATGCCATGGAGATGGACGGTGTGCTACCTCCAGGGCCTGGGAAGCTACCTCATTATTAAGCATGAGATGATGTACAAAAGTAGGTTGCAGAGGGTGGGGGGAGAAAGAGGGAGGGTATAGAGCTAAAACCCAGTGCGGATTCCTGGGGACCAGGACCCTAGGTTCCTTGGCTTATTTCTCCCACCGCCAACCCCTCTGATAGCTGATGGTTCTAGGAGCAGTTGAGGAGCAGTTGAGGGCATTTATGAGAGTATCATACTCTTAAACCCTGCAAGAAATCCTTCAGGGTGTGTAAAATATGGTTAGTCACTGGAGAGCTGCCAAGCTGGAACTGTAAATACAGAGTAGGAGTCTGACAACTGACTTCATGAAAGCAGTGAGATACAGCTGAGACTGAGCAGTCTGCTAGGAAATCCCCATTTCCCCCTTCCCAGGCTGTTCCCTGGGATAACATGATCCCGCTGTGGCCTCATTAATGTCACTTGGATCTCAGGGTCCTGGAGAAGACGGAGAGGAGGTGAATAAGAGGGCTCTGCTCTTCGGAGTGAGGACCCCAGCAGTAGCCTATGGGCTTCTTTTGACAGTGGCAAGATTTTGATGAAGTAGGGAGTTTGTGGAAGTGTTAGATTTATAGGGTAGAATGGTGGTGGTGGTAGTGGGGACACAGAGACAGAGACGAGAAACCCAGAGAGCTAACAGGAAAACAGCTCCAGAAGTAGAGTTGGCAAAAGGGAGGCAGGTGAGCAAACCAAGCTGACAGGCAGAATGTGAGGTCTTGGTTTTTGTTGTGATGGAAGTGGCATATGGGTAAATCTAAGTCTTGGGTCATAGGTGATGTAGTTTGTGGTCAAACTGGACCCGAGATGTTTCTTGCAGGGCCCCTCTCCATCCATCTTATATCCTTGTTACTGTGATGGGGATGTTTTTGTTTGTTTGCTTGCTTTTTTTTTTGGAACTGGGGATCAAACTCGGGTCCTTCCGCTTGTGAGGCACCACTGAGGTGAATCCCCGGCCCTAGGGGTGGTTTTTTATTTAGTAGAGCTTCTTCCCCTTGTCCCCAGCATGATGTGGCATCAAATACGTGATTGCAGAGATGCTGAGGTGAGTTCTTGGCACTCAGACAGAGCGGCTGGCACCTGCAGGTGGTGTCTTTGCCCCTTATTTCTATTTGGCTGGCGCCATGGCGCATATTGACTCACTTCCGGGAGTCACCACAGTTTTATCCAGAGACTGTGAGGGAGGACGTAGAGAACAGAAAGACAGCAGGGAGACAGATGCCTCCAGTACTTCCAGGCCTGCAGATTCAAAGATGCCCAGCGGAATGGAAGTCCCACTGTGTTAGAGTCTCTGTTCAGTCGTTGTCTGACTGAAACTCTGTAAGGCCTGGGAGAGCATTCCCTGCACTGATGTCCCTTGCGGGGCCGGTCCAGCATGGGAGGGACCTCTTTCCTCACCCTCTCCCCATGCGGCCTGTTCTTCCTGCAGGCCGCTGTTTGGTCTTGTTCTCCATAAGGGGAAGCCCTTGTAGAGGATGTAAACCGCATTATGGCCTCTCCCACTTTTCCTGCCCTGGGAGAGCATCCCAAGCCTCTTTCGGCTGTCTTTCCTGGTACAGTATTTTAGTTTAGCTCCAGGCCGTTCCCGTCGTTCTTCTCATTTGATCCACAGTGAGCATGTTCTTCTTAGAAGATGGAATCCAAGCTGTGCCCCAGTTCTCTGGGAGAGGTTTATATGTGGACAGCCACGAGGTGCTTATTTTGATGTCAACTGTAATGGCATTCTGGGTCTGGTCATCATGGCAATGAGAATGGTAGGATGGGCCAGCATCTCTGAGAATCAAGACCAAAACAGGTACAGGCAGAAGTCCTTCCTGGAGAGGTTGCATATTCTGCTTACCAAGTTAAAAATGTTGGTCCCGTTTCATGCAGGCTTTCATCGATCCAGGGAGGATGTCCCATCAGAAGTGGCAACAATGCAAACTTCCTTGTCAGCCCCCTCCTCAGGTCCTGGAGCCCGGCCCTCTCAAGGTGCCCGAGCCCTGCCCTCCACCCCCCAGCCAGCAGAAGTGCCCTCCTGCTCAGCGACCTTCATGCCAACAGGAATGTCTGCCAAAGCGGAAGTGAATCATCTGAAGCTACCACACCCTACACCTGGACCTGAAGGTGCCAAGCCCTCTCCCTGCCAATGCTGTACCTCCTTCTAGCATCCACAAAGAACAACACACAGCCCAGGGAAACTTCTCAGCTGACCCAAGGAGAGTGATACCTCCATTCAAGCTTTCTTGTAGTGGATCAGCAGATCCCTCTGAGCCTCATTCTCTAGCAACCAGCAGAGGACAGAGAGAAGTGCTGTGATCCTCCAAGGCCTGCCCTGCGGCCTTATGAACTGTGTTCACTGTGGCCAGGACAGGCTGCTCCTCCAGGTGCTCCTGTTGGTCTGAGAAGAACCTTAGAACAAGGGAAGATTCTTTCAATGATGTCTCCTGCCGCACTCCAAACTTTTCTGAAGTTTTGAGAAGCCAAAATGCATTAAACTAACTGCCTTAAATGAGTGGAAAATTACCCCAACTTCCTTTTTTGCTTTACTCTTAAGTTAGTGTGGTGAAATCTATTTCAAATCACCAATTTTTTATTTCTAAAGACAGATGACTTCACCTCTGGACCCTAGGCCTGGAAAGCTCCCAACCCTCTGTGATGCTGTTACTTTTAACTTCCTACTCTTTTAATAAATCCAGGTGTTCATGTGTGCATCTGGCTGTGGTCGCTGGCTGGGAAGAGCATGCCCCAGATGGAAAAGTGGGTGCTGCAGAGGAACAGTGCTTGGAAGAGCCACCAGGGGGAAGTCAGGAGGCCACATGAAGGGCTGAGAAGTTGGCATTCTCCCCACTCTGAGCTTCCTGTGGGGCTCACATTACCGGGGCTGCCTGCTGCAGTCCTCTCCCTTTCTCAGGGAAGTTGTTGCAAGCAGGAAGGTTGGAGTGTGGGCCCGGGGTGCTGGCATCAGGGTTGGGGTTCAGCCAGCTGGAAGTGGGGTCTTCAGAGCACAAAGGATGCTAGACTTCGGGCAGAGGCCTCGACTCTGAGCTTGAAGATGACCATCTTGGGAGGCATAGAAGAGCCAGGCCTCTGCGGCCTCCATCATGCTGGAAGTGCAGGCTGTGAGGAGGTTGTAGGATTTTCACTTTTAAATTAGAGGACCACGTCTTCTTAGCACAGCGGCTTGTGGGTTACATTCCAGACTGTCAGTAACCGATGAGCATTCACTGTGTTTCAGGGCCAGGGCCAGGCCTGCTTCAAAGAGGTGTGCTGATCTGTAGGTGGGCAGGCCAGGCTGTGGCTGGCACAGAGAAGTCGGGCAGTGCTCTGAGTGGAGGAGCAGAGAGTGTAAGAAGACACCTGAGGAGAATGCTGGTGGCTCCCAGGGGAGAATGGGATCGAATCCCCAGAGCTTGGCTCCGCAAGTGCAGCTGGCTGCTGGCTGAGCGCAGCTGTGCTTTACTTGTTTCAGCCACCATTCCACTCTGTTAACCACCTTTTTCCTTCAGGACTTTAGATCAGTTGTCATGACATGGATTGTTGCACCTTTAGGAATTAGTCCTCACCCTGAGGAAGTCCTCCGGCCAGCAGAAGACAGCAGGGGAGGCAGGCGCAGCCCCTGCTGTCTGCACGCTCCTGGGGGAAGCCCCGGGAGGCAGCAGGGCTGCTGTGTGTAGTTGTTGAGCAGAAATGGTGACTGCGGGGAAGAAGGGGTACAGTTACTTGATGTCTGAAGGAGATTTTCAGCACTTACAGGCGAACCCCAGTCTAGGGCATCTACCTAAGGTGTGTGTGCTGCCTCAGGAAGTCTTCAAACAGCTGCTGGCTCACAAGTCAGAGCCTTGTTGAAAAGATTCTCATCCGGTGACCCATTAGATTGATCTTCCGAGTGCTTTCAACCCTCCTTTTTTTCTATCTGTATTCCCAGTTCAGGACTGTCGCGAGCAATTCTACGTAATTTGGGGGGGAAAATCATTTGATTAGGCCTAGTTGTCCCGTCTACAGGGCAGCTGTGGCATGTTGAGACATAACTCCAGTTTGGCCTCTGGTCACTGCTAAGACCTCAATGGTCCGGGGATGCTGTGATGATCCAGGACAAGATTACAGCAGCTGGGGCCGGGGATTTAGCTCAGTGCAAGGACCCGAGTTTGATCCTTGGTCCAAAAAAAAAAGAAAAAAAGAAAAGGAAAGATTATACCAGCCAGAGACATCCTGGGAGAACAAAATCTTCATCTTCATAGTTCCTCATTGTTCTAGGATTTTCCCTGCTGCCGGTGCCACTGCCCTCCAAGTGTCTCCCCTGTACTGAACTCTGTGCCCTGAGTCATCTGTTACATTTGTTTTCTCCTAATGTACTAAATAAAGGTGTGGCGAGCTGGGGTGGGGGGAGAGCAGGATTTCATCTCTGCCACCCAGAGCAGCATTGATCAGGCCCAAAGCTCAGCTTTCTCTCAAACTCTCACTTTTTCTATCTTTCCTGTACTGAGTTAATTCACCTTGTGCTGTCATGGCTCGCAGGAGACTAGGACTTACTGAACGGGTTCTAGTACTGCCCCCTTTTCCTGTTCCCCACAAAACCCAACTTCAGCCCCTTTTCCACTCCTTTATGAGTACAGGTTACTCTGGAATCGGTGATCCCAAGACCCAGGAGCTGTCAAATTTCTCCAGAAAACAGACCACAGCTGTCAGAGAAAAGAGGCTTCAAGATGATTTGCTATTTCCAAGAGTCAGATATTTGGCCTGGTTCAACCTAAAGTCCCAGGGAGACATACTGGGGATAACCACACCTTCGCCTTTCAAGTGTTTGAAGGCTAAATATTTCGGAGGCCTCTCAGGGCATGAAATTTGGCCTTTGGCTTATAATTTTGGTGGGGAGGTTGAGCTTCAGGGGCTTCCTTCACCTTGTTCTTCATCCTTCCCTAAGGTGGAGGCACCATTTGAAAGTTCTTCCAGTAGTTGGGGTTCTCTGTTCCAGCAGAGTCTCCAGAACCAGAAGAATCATCTCAGGATTGGATTTGGTACCACTGGTGTGATTCCTGGCTAGATCAAAATTTCAGTGGTCACTTTTACACAGTTGGCCCCTCTGTCTTCCTGCCTCCTGCCTGAATTATGTTTTGTATCTAGTTCTAGGAGGAGATAGAGCTAAGGAAAAAAAAAAAAAAAAAA